AAGATGTAGAGCTCCCCTCTATTGGGATGAAGTAGGTGAACGAAGAGTTCTGGGACCCGAAATAATTGAAGAAACTAGTCGAGCGGTTGATAAAATAAGAGCTAAAATCAAAGCAGCTCAGGACTGACAAAAGAGTTATGCCGATAAAAGGAGGAAAGACTTGGCATTTAATGTTGGCGACAAAGTTTTCATAAAGGTGGCGCCGATGAAGGGAGTTCTGCGTTTTGGAAAGAAAGGAAAACTTCAACCAAGATTCATAGGTCCTTTTGAAATTTTACAAAAAGTTGGAAATGCAGCTTATCGAATCGCTCTACCACCAGATTTGTCAGCGATTCATGATGTGTTCCATGTATCGATGCCTCGGCAATATGTGTCGGATCCAAGTCATGTGGTTAGTTATCAACCATTGAACATCAAACAAAACATGACATATGAGAAAAAACCAGTAGCAATATTGGATTGCAGAATCCAGCAGTTAAGAACAAAAGAAATTCCGTTAGTAAGAGTCCAATGGAGGAACTATAATGTCGAAGAATCGACTTGGGAAAGAGAAGGAGAAATCAAGACCAAGTATCCAGAACTTTTCAACTAAGCTCAAGGTAATTTAGAGGACGAAATTTTTTTTAAGGGGGGAGGGATGTAATACTCCGAAATTTTATGCTCGTTTAAATTTCTTTGGGATAGCAATTTAACTTTCAATATTATTTTTGGCCATACGGTAAAAGGGGACAACACCTTTGTAGTGGTTAATGTTAGAGGTAGTTAATGAATGTAGGCATGAAGTGTCAAGTTTGTGTATACATGAAGTGATTAATAGTTAGTCGAAACTTAAGGCAAGTTTGGATTTAAATGAAGTGGATTATTTTTTTAGGGCTTCAATTGACCAAATGATTAAACTATTTTACAATCTACAATTTTTGAATATGTAAGTTGGGTACAAGTTTAAATTTGGGGTACACTTTGTTAACAATGAAAATTAGCGGGTTTATATTATATTAGTTGAAAAGAAGAGAGGTTTCCTTTGTAAATCGAGGTTTTAAGGCCACTTATTACCCTATAATCAACCCACTTGTCATCCATCATTACCATACACTTAGATAATAGACTAAACATGTGTACAAGTAAGAAAAAAAAATGGAAAGAAAGAGAGGTGAGGCGGTGGAGATCGAAGAGGGAGGAAAAAAGATGAACCATTTATCCCTATTTTTC